ACTACTACATGTGCCAGTCTACTGGATCCCTGCATCATATCACATTCTATGCAATAGCAATAGTTTTTTATGTCCCTAAAACTATCTCTGCCACAATGATAAAGGCCATTTCCAATGATTATTGATACCTATACAGATTTGAAATCATATACTGGTATGTATGAATGAAGGGAAATTATTTGTTTGCAAGAGTAGCATAAACTTTGTACATTTCCTTTTATGAGTGCCACCATATTTGATAGTATTTCCTATACTAGTGTCGTAGGGATGTATTAGTATAAATCACATCAGCTTCTAATGCATCAGACTGTATAATAAATAATAACCACCTATTGAATGAATTATACTGGTAATATACTCTGGGCACCAACTAATACTTTTCTAATTATCTGCCTACCTGGTTACCCTAGGAATTCATATGGCTCTGTAGCCATGGTATTTGAGTATCTTCAAACCTCTGAACCTCTGATGTACCTGTTATCTCCATGCAGGTCTGATGCATATTAGTACAATTATTCCTGTATAGGTATGTCACTAAAGTCCTAAGATGAATAGCTCAGAAGAACCTCAGAAGTCTATGACCTCTTGATTCACTTGCTGGCTGTGAAGAATTACTCTCTCTCTTGCATAGATAGGAAGCTGAGTCATAAAAAACTAAATTTACGTGCCCATAAACACATAGATAGCAACAGAGATGGAATCAGAACTGATGGTGTACAGATCCTCAGTCCCTGTCTGGTTGCATTTAGTTTCTGTCACCGGTCTTCAGTGATCATACTTGGTAAAATAGCTAGCAGTTGTTGCTCTTCACAGTGCAATGCTTCTGTGATGTGTGTGAAGTGGACTTGGCAAATAATTGTTTATCAAAAAGTTAAATTAATTAGGTAATAAGGCAGTTGCTTAGTACATTGACAACTGAATTTGTCAGCCCTCCTACTAAACTGCTGCATGAATCTGGGCAATTACTTCACATGCTGCCATTTTTCTAATTTAATATAGGGATAATAACACACTTGGACATCCAGGCATAAAAATCACTGTTCAGTGCTGTTCTGCTTCTCATTTAAGACAATTAAATGAGAAAAGGAAAGGAAGGGGGAAAATAATACATTTTTCCATTTAGTTTAATGGAGTTTCTGTGGTATAACTCAAAGATCTCACTCTTGAAACAGAAGTGGCTGGTAAGGACATTTCAGTTTTAAGTTTTACGTTGCCAGCAGACGTTACTGCAGGGCTGTTGTGCTAGGCAGGGTGTAGCCTCTGCAGCTGTTGCTTAGGGGTTCTGCACCCCTTGCCAGTCAGCACTGGATGGAGTTCTCTGGGTCTGTCTCAGAGCTGGTTTTTCTTTCCTCCAAATACAGTGTAGGACTGTGGAAATAGGTTATAAGTAGCAGATGTGTAACTTCACTCTCACAGCAAAACTGACTATGAAAGAGTTAACCCAAGTAATGGCAACACTTCAGTAAAATTGAGGGAGGAGGAACTTGAGTCTCAAGTCTTAATAAAATGCAGGTGTTTTATTGTTAAGTTAAAAATGTCTTAAGACTCCAGCAAACATTTAAAAATAAGAAAAAAAATGTGCTATTGAATAAGAAACTTGGAAAGGCAACAACAGGCCGTGCAAGGCTTCTATAGAGAGTGCAGCAGTCACTGGCTAAGGCTAAGGGAAAACAAAACATAAATATTAGCTGAACAACACCTTTCCCAACATGCATCTGGACTCTGAGGTATTACACCTGGGATTAACTTTTGACATTTTCCTTTGCACCATTGTGACTTTGCTGTCTTACCAGCTCCATGCAGAGTATTTATACTCATTTTTCAACCTGTCTTCTTGCTTCCAAGTCTGTTTGGGGTCTCAACAGGGTGACAGGCACTGCATTCACAGCGTACGGAAAGGTCTGCTACATTTGCACTTGCTTTTATGTCAGGGATAGGTGTGGGGGGGGACCAAACTAGTTTAGCACAAGCTAATAAAAAGAAGTTGTAAAGAAATCACTAATCGCTGTTTTCTTCTCTTTCAATTCCCTCTCCTTATCCCAAGAAAGCAGAAAATTTGGGGGGGCATTTGTCAGTAAATTGCACTGTTTAGGTCACAGAGTAGATGGATTGCACTGAACTTTGACCTTTAACTTCAAGCTCCTTATGTATTTGGAGAATAAACATAGTTATTATGACTTACTAAAGGGAAATGCAACATGAAGAACTAGAGAAGACCAAATGTACTTATGGTTGCCCAAGGCCTAAGATTACTGCATCCCTATGGGCCTTAATTAGTGTCCTGGAGATGGGCTGGGTATTTTTGGGACGTGTGGTGAAAATAGTTAACTAATTGCCCTCCATAAAATCTCAGCCCTGGGAGAAAGTCAGGCATCCATTTTCCTGGCCTTAGTCTTGGTGATGTAAATCAACTGTCACTACTAGAGGAGAAGGACAGAAATAGTCCATGGAGTATCTGATAGGATGGAAAACAAGAGTAATTTGGGTTTTGGTGCAAGAGTTTCACAACTGCAATATAGTAGGAGACAGAGAAGCAACAGTGAAGACAGTCATTCTGCCAGTCATTTCATTTAGAAGACTGACAGGTGAGATATAAACAGTACTAAGCAAAAAATGTAAATGACAAACAGAAAAGTCTAAGGCAATGAATTAAGCTGATGGAGCTGTGGAACTTGTAAATCTCAGTACTTGCCAGCTCTCGTTTTATATGAAGCAGAGCGCTCAGGGCAGCTTGAGTAAATACTTCAGAAAATGAAACAACAAAAATCAAAACCCACCATCATCAGAGCAGAAACCCAAAAAAGGCCAGGCTGTGTGCCCTCTCTGCGCTGTTGTTCTGCATCCTTGCTACGGTCACTGGACTATCCGAACTGATGGGCTGGAATACAGGCATCAGACAGCCATCGCAGAGATGAAGGAGGGTGAAATGTAAATCCTTCTTCACACAAACCCTCAGAATAAACGTTCTTTACTCTCAGCCATCATCAAAACTAAGTGTATTTTTCAGAAGCATTTCCTGAAGATGCAGTGGAATTGCAGACTATATCTCAAGAGAGGGTCAAAAAGCAGAAATCTTCACTAGGAGTATCTCAAAAATCTGTGTAGAAAGCTTTAAGTTGGCCTGAATGTACTCAGGATCAGGCCCTTGAGGAAAGACGTCTCTATCAGCATTTGTTAGCTGCTCCCAATTTTAGATCCTCCCTGGCCTCCTTTCCTCCTTCACTTTGTAGGACTGCTTTTCATCCCACTCCTACTCTTCTTTGCAGCTGCTAGTTCATGTTTCTAATGTCAGCAGTTCTCAATCTTCTCAGATAACCCTATTGTTGTTTGTGCCTTGCTATGTGAGGGAAACAACCCATGCTTTCTGTTCCCTTGTAAAAAGTCACTGCTGCTCAAGCTCCAACAAATCTAGGCCAGCCCCTGCTCTGCGCAGCCTCCACCCAAATCCAGCACATCAGGCTGCAAAAACTGGCAATACCTCTGGTCTTAGGTGGGCAATAGCCATGGTCAGTGTTAGAAGCATGGGTTCTTTATTATCCATCAAACTGGCCTTTATTTTTTCTTTCTAGTCTTACAATTATACTTGTATTTTCTGATATATGTTGTCTCTGGGAGCCACTGAGAAGTAATGGACAGATTTGCAATAAAGTATGTACAGCTAGGTCAGAGTGTTTTAAAATTAGTTTATATCAACTCTGAAATAATAGTGATGTCAGTCATTGAAAAACTTAAGAGAAGTACTTTATACTAGTACTAAGCATTAGCAGTAATCACTAGTGTCAGGCCTCTTGGTTATCCTTGCAGATACTGCTGACTCTTCCATATCAAGAGAAAGAAAGATTGTTCCTCTAAACAGACTCACTACTTCACATGCTGTAAAATTGTCTGGTATTTGACTCAAAGAACTGACAATTAACCTTTGCATCCTGTTTCTTATTCCTTCATCTTTGCATGATGAAAGTTCCCCTTCCAAATTTCATTTTCCTCATGTATATTTATTTTAAATGCCTGAAATGAAAACAAATTTCTTTGCAGCTTTCTTCTATACATAAAAAATGTAGTTAACTACTTGTAAAAGAAGCAAAGATCCCCATCTAAAATAATAATAATAATAATAATAATAATAATAATAATAATAATAATTTAATTTATCGTGGAGGGTGGCACCAAGACTGAGGCTCTGTCAATGGCACAGAGAATATAAAAGATTGATTTCAGAATATTGAAGACCAAAGCGTTTACTTTCATGCTACTCTTCCCTATAGCATTTTGGTGTATTTTAAGAAATGGTTAAAGATATTTTTAGCCTCATTCTCCAGTTTTGTAAGTGAAGAAATGTCTCCCCTAATTTATTTTTTATTTCTTCTAGTCTAATCTAAAAGATTTTAGCATTGTACCTTTCACAGGTGATCTGTAGCTTTTTAATGGAAGTGAAATTCCTGAAGCGCTTACATGCAGAGCAGCAGAACCTGATTGCCTTCATTTCAAGGCTTGGAAATAGACTTAAAGGGCAATGGTGCAGACGCCTCCACCCGAGCCAGGGCTCAGAAGGGATAGGTACAAGTGAGTACAAAACTGTTTGCTTTCCCTTGCTTTACTGTGGGATACTCACAAACATTTAATTAAAGCTATTGTATGCATGCTTAACTTGGAGATATCTGTAGTTCCTTGAAGCCGTTACACAGGAGCGCCAGAGAAAATACAAGGGAGTCACTGAAGGAAAATACAAATGAATTAGAAAAGCATAGCAACCAAAGAATACATTTCCCATAATACAACAGTCAAAGGTCATGAGATCACAGATGCTCAGTTGCTCATGCATATCATCTATTCTCTCCACTTGCATGCTTGCTCCGAGAGGGCAAAGATTTAATGAGGATGTGGCTAGCTTTAGCAGTTCTCACCCTTCCTCACACCCTACATCTCAAAGAGCATTGAAAGCCTCTTTGAAGTTGGAATAGACAGACATTGAACTGTCCCAGTGCACACATACAATCTGGGGTTTTCTCATCAGGTACAAAAATACAAGGTGACTGTTTTCTTCTGACTGCCCTGGATGTGAACAAAGCTGGCGAATCAAAGACTTATTGAATTGAGGAGTGGAAAGGAGTTTCTCCATTGCATCTGTCTTTTCAACCTGCAGTAGCCCTTCTCAGTCTCACTGTTTCTATTAGTCGGTTCATTTTTCCCAGCTCCTTAAGAAGAAATCCTGTTCAGACAAAACAGCACACTATTTACAGGAAGCTTGGCAAGGTCAAAAAGTGACTGTAAAACTGATCTCTTTTTAAAACACATACAGGATCTACTCTGATGTAGATACTATTAGGACTCAGCAATCTCTGATTTGCTATCTAGGCCTTGAAGGTGGTTTCGGAGTCAGATTTGTTAAACTTGGTGACATTGTAAGTGTTATCATTTGTCATTAGCAGAGCTACCTCAGTTGCTCCAAGTCCCACTTAATCTATGCAGCTCATTACCCACAGCTTCTGACCTACTTAGTCACTTCCTGTCTTTATTTTAACCTTAGAGCCTCTTTTCTGTGTTGGCCTGTGACTACCATTTAATCTTAATCAAACTTCCTTGGACTTCCATTACTGTCAAGTACAGCTTCTCTCACCATAATGCCCACCCTTCTGAGTGCAAGAAAACTGATTTACAGCCAACAGTCTGCTGCTTCTCTTATGCTCTATGTTCATTTTTGCTTTGTTTTTCTTCCTGTATTGACACTCCTTCCCTCTTTTCTGACGCATTGTGCTATGCTTTCTGTTTCCCTCGGTCTGTCAGTGGCTGAGATGCTGCCCTGCACACCTTTACTGGAGAGATCTGTGCCCAGCTACCATATGCAGATTCAGAAAAAGCTGAAGAAGAAATTGAGTTGGCCACAGGCTGCTACAGAAAGTCAGCTTGTTTAGTACACCCTTGCTTCTGACCAGAAATTATGACCTAGTCTGTTCCTTTATGCCTTGCTTAAGAGCTACTTATGCAAAACACAGATGTTTAGTTTACACCTCCCCAACCTAGCATCTTCCCTGCTACTGCAGGGCAGTTGTTAACTGTACAGAACTGTGAGGTGGGTACCAGCTTAAGAACTTTCCTAGTTCTCACTGGTTCACTCATGCTGCAGTAATATGCCTTTGAAATAGACTTCTTCAGCCAGTTTCCCTCCACGACCAGAATCCAATTTAAAGATGTTAATCCAGTACCATGGTGACTTTTGTCTGACAGGGGCACTTCTGAGCTGGTGACGTCTGTTGTTTTTCAAGATTCTTTCACTAGCACAGAGAAGTTCAAAGATGTGGCCCGATGCACTTTGAATGTCAGATACAAAACATTTGATGGCAATGGCATCTCTGTGTAACACATAGGAGAGATTTGTTCAGTCTCTTCCCATATGTATTCTCTCTCTTGACTTTTTTCAGTATACCCAGTTCTGCTGTTCTCTCTTCCTCCTAATTCTGTGCTCATCAGCTTTTGGGTTTTGTTTTTATTAACATATGAAGGTTATATGATCCATCACTGAGTGCCGCCTTGTTCTCTTAATAAGCAGAAAATACCATACATTTTGGAAGGAGGAATTAGCTACAGGCTGTTCTCATTAAGACTCTCCTTCAACTTAGCTTAAATTTATTTTTGAACTGCAGTCACTATGCATTGCAAGTTGAAAACAACCACTTGAGCGCTTTCCAGCGAGGCTTTGAAAGGCCCTGATACTAGGCATGGAGGAGAGATAAGCAGCACATTGAAGTTGTAGTATCACTGTAGTATCAAGGGCAAGGAGTGAATGGAAACATACCCTCCTTCTGGCACTGCCTGGCTCAGGACGAGGGGAGAGGAACAAACAGAGCAGCTTTGGTTCACAGGCACTGCGGGAGCCAGCAGCCTCTCAGCTGATGACAGATTAGACTCAGGGCCTGGTTAGTGGGAAGACTGTGATTAGACCTCAGCAACATCTGTCTCTAGCAGTAAAAGAATCACTGCTGCAGGCTGCTATTTTGTCAGCAAACTGTAATTATACCAGGAACCTCATTCCTGCTGTTTTTCTCAACGACTTAAGAGAAAAAAAAATGTGGGTGAGAGTGCAGGGAAGCAGAAACTGTGAAAGGAGCAGGAAGGAGACACCTGTTTATTTTTGTTCCGCTCATTCCAATTATTTTCTCTCAGTTTCTTAGATGTATGAATCACAGTATGAATCACAGACTGGTTTTTCCCAAAGGGCAATGCCAAGGTTTAGCTCTCTGAAGGTGTCCTGTCATTCATCTGAAGCTGATAGCACACATCCTCTCTGTGCACTTATGCCCCATGGCATCTTAGAGGAGTGTGGTGGTGCTTGCAGAAGGTGTCACATCAACCTCTCCCTGGCAGTGTCCCCTCTCTCCTTCCATGGGAGTGGCAGTACAGAGTGCCAGACTCTGATCACAGCTGTTCTCAGGACATTCCCAGGAAGGTATAGCCTGGGCAGAAGTGTGGGATATTGGAGGCTGCTCAGGGTGAATTTGAACCTTCCTCCCAAAGGCTCTGTCTAGACTAGGGTTTAGGAATTTGAACTTCAAAAATGTTAGGTTGTATATAGTAACTCTCTGTTTTAAAAAATGTAGAAAAGGCAGCATAAGTTTGAACTTGCAATAACACCTGGTAAGTTTGGCCAAAATAACAACGCCAAAAAACATCAGGATTTCTTTGCAAGATTTCTCTGCCAGAAAAAACTTGTTGTTTTTGCAGTTGTAACCACATAGAAGTCAGTTTGCCATTAGTGTTTTCTTTGCTCAGAATATAAGAAATAGATATTTCTCCTCCTCTCCTAGAATTAAAATCTAAGAGCAGAGTTTGCCAATGTAGCTTTACCATCCAATACTTAAAATGTAGACAAGGTCAAAATGATTAAACTAATCTATGTACTTCTTTCTTAACTTTCCTCAGATCATTAATGTGACTGTTTAGTATACTTTGAAGGCAAGAGTGTCTTGTCTATGCTAAATAATTTTATATCAACACCATATTCGTCTAGAAGAAAGCAGAATTGTTCCTTACCAGCACGTCTGCCCTCCATCCCGCAGCACATCTGGCAGCACAGCCAGGGATGAAAGCGTGGCAGCAGGAACTCGACCCTTGGGTCTGAAAGCACAGGGACACTGCCTGTTGGCAAGCATAATTCTGTCTCCAGAGCCAAGTCTCTGCAGATACTGGTGGGAAAGACACACATCTGGAGTTGTCTAGAATTGGCATAAATTGCTGTGGACAAAGAGGAGAGAAAGGAAGGGTTAGAGGGAAAGTGGAAAGAATGCCTCTTGCACATTCCACTTTCTTTTCCATCTGCTTGTGTGATGTTGCTGTGAGCTATTAAACAACTGCAGTACTCTGTCCCAGAAGGGACTGTGTTTCAGTAGAGATGGAGAATGATCTCTGCAGCTTAGCGCTTTGGGAGTCCCCTTGAATAGAAGGGGCAATAGGAGTATTGTTTCTCTGATTAACTATTATGCTAAATACATTTGGGAACCCAACATTTGTGGTAGTAGCCAAGATGCTGTTCTAGCTCCTCAGACCTGAAGCCCCTGACAGGCAGTGGATACTGCTGGGTGCTTCTGACTCATCCGTGTCAAAGTAGGTGAGTCCCCTCTTGTCTTTCACCTTCCAAGCAGAACCTCCCAACTCTCCTGAACTGGTTCCAAAATTCAAGGAGAGCAGATTACTCAAGCAAAAGGTGTTTGCAGACTTTGAGACTTTGCAGCTTGGGGAGATAAGGATAGCGAGGGAGGACCAGGAGAAAGCAGAGTAGGTGTACAGTGACTGCCAAGGCCTGCGCAGAAGAGCATTTTTTTTGCATCCATTCAGACGCTCAGCAATTTCCTGCGTTTTTCCTGCAATCAGAGTGCTCCACCTGCTTTTACTTAACCATTTCCTGTTTATGGCTTCCAAAAACTTTCTGGTGAAATCACTAATCTGCCATAAGATCAGTCTTTATAGTCCCTTTTGGGCAAGCTTCACTCACTTTTTTTCTCTCTCCTCAGTACATAGACCTTTCAGACTAAGGAGCTGTGTGCTGTGTGTACATGTCTGCATGCATGTGTGTGTGACTGCAGTCAATTGTTGTGTCAAGAAACTATGTGCTTCCTCAACATATGCCCTTTTTTAGTTCTAATGCTTGCTGCTTTTTGCAAATTTGAGCAAAGAAACAAGCAGTAACACTGAGGGCTGGGGCCCCTTTCTGTAGAACAGAGGGCTCCAGATATTTAGAGGAAGTATTCTTCCCATTACTTTCAAGCATCTAAGAGCTCTTCCACAAATGAAGAATTTGTTCTCTGGATAGCTTGCCCAAGCTTCAAATTATTTTCTAGCTTTGAAAACAGTGAGGCAATTTCTTCTAGTCTGCTGTTCAGATTCTCAGATGTGAAAGGCAAAGTGTGAGGAGCAGGAAGGATCAACCAAAGAAAAATAAATCTCTTCCTTAGAGTGTAGATGGCTCCCACAAGTCCTCATTGCACACTTAGTCACATGTCCTGTAGGAATCACTGGAAAAGCCTGCATACTTCAAGTCTGCTCTCCTTAGCGATCCTATAGATAACACTACAGCTGCCATTAAAATAAAATTTATTTGTCACTGCTTTTTCTGTTTGTTTACTTTTTTATTTCTCTTCTGGAGCAGTGAAAATAGATTCTTAAGTGTCCTCTCTGATTCTCATGCTCTTGCACAGTGCTGCAATGTTTGGGTTGTGGTGAACACTGCAGGGGAATGTTCCCTTCTTAAAATAAATCATGGAAACATTTCTGTTGGAATCAGGGCTTGTAGGAGTTTATTTTTGTTTAATAAGAAGAATGTCGGGCCAACTCTGGTCTGACACTATATCCCTTTAAAGGGAACAGGCTTCTGATGCATGTCAGTATATATATATTGACGTGTGTGTGTGTGTGTATGCACACACACCAGTATACATACCAGTTACACTGGTATAACTGAGAACTGAAATAATCCTATAAGAATGCTGGATGTGCTGGTCCTTTCAGCACACAGATCTGCAAATTCCTTAACTATCTCTGCTCACGTTAGTGTACATCAGGTTGCTTACTCCGCTGACTTAGGCGTGGAAGGGGTAGGTCTGTAAGCACGCACTGGCACTGCTGCTGAGCTGTTTCACCCTTTGGTAATGAGGTTGATGGGCTCACACTCTCAGATGTTTCTGAATATTTTAACAAAAACACTAAACCCAAACTTTCAGTTTTAACTGTAACATAAGCATGCACAGGTAGCACTTCTGTATGGGGTAGGAGGTATGGTCTGGGCATCACTGATGTCCGGGCAGCTGTCTGCTGTCAGCATAGCACAACCCCACTGGGATCAGAGCTTTCTGAAATATCCTTCAAGCTGTCTGTGAGCAGCTTTTGAACTTTCATCAGGAAAAGGAAGCAGTTGTTTTCTACACAGAAGTGTCTTTCAGATTGGTGCAAGTATGTAAAATGATTACTTTGGTTCCCATCCAGCCCAATTCATTCAATATTTTTTGTCAGGGTACTTGTCATCAGTGGCATTTGCCCAGGGTGAGTCACACCTACCCAGGCAATGATCTGAGAGAGCTCTCAAATCATTCTCATTTTCATTTTATAGGGTACAGCCCTGGTAAATTCATGACTGTATTGGACCACACAGCACTTTATAGAGCACCTCCTTTTCTTCTAACCAGATTTCAGCCTAAGAGGCAACTACTCCAAAAAAGATTCTCTGGTTCAGTGCCTGTCTTTGTTTTCCGAATGTTTTTCACCACACTGCTTTCTGGTTACACTGCAAATTTAGGTCCACTCGAGGTATTTTTGCCTCCCCCCTCCACCCCAAAAATGAAGGAAAGCTGAACTGTGTGAAAATGTAGTGAGAACTGAGATCCTCAAGGAAAATGACAAGAGGTGTAGAGGACCTTGCAAGACTCTTTCCAGGAAATGGGTGGAAGGTTCATCACATGAGTCACTGAAACCTTAGATGACTAAATTCTTGAGGAATAAACTGTCAGGAATATGATACTGGTCAGGACAGTGCAGGGGGAAAAGAAAACTTCTTAAATAGCTGTTGTTTGGTTTTTTGTCCATGATTCATTCCTGAGGAAATTGCTGCATCTCTGGCCAGGAACAGGGCAGCATGCAGGCAGTGCCAGCCCTCTCTGCAGAGGCAGCAGGCGAAGCATGCTGGCGTGCACAGCCCTGCTGCTCCAGGCACAGCGCTCCTGCCCAAGGGGCTGAGAGGGGATCAGGAGCACTCCATGGCTGTCCTGCCCAAGTGCATAGAGTAAGACAGGATCACTAGTGCTCATATACCAACTGAATCAATTAACGTCATATTTTTGTATACTAGCAGGTATGAAACCAAGAGGAAATGAAGGTTTAAAACTCTAATTCTAGCTTCTTTTAAAACCTTTTCTTGCTCTACCTGCTCCAACCAGTTAACCAAGTTCTAGCAATAAAACTGGCCCAAAACTCTGAATTTGGGTTTCAGAGAAGGTCTTAAGATTTTAAGCTAGTAACAGCAGAAGCAGTAAGACGCCCTCCACAGCTACCTCCAGAGGAGCTGAATCAGCATTAGCAGCAGTGGGAAATGTTTGCAGTAGTATCTTGAGTGTGAAGAAACCCCAGTGTTCCAGCATGCCACTGCCAGTTCCCATTTTGAGAAGTTTGACCCAAGCATTTAACATTTCAGCATCAGTTCTGTGTCTCATAATGCTGTTTACGTAATGATTGCTCATTTGGTTCCCATTAAAATCATGGCATTTCTTCTGCAAACCACTGCTCATAAAAATCTAGCCACCCAGTTTCTCTTTAGATTGTAATACAGGAAATAAATGGTAGGATGCACACTGTAATTCTCAGAGAATGGGGGGCTTTTTTTCCTCTGTTGTACATATAAAGTTCAGACATTAGAAGTATGAATGTGAAAGATCTGTTAAGGATTGGTGAATCCATCTCCTCCAAAAACAGTGTAGTTACTCTCTGGCAGATGTTCCTCAGGTATTATATTGATAAAAAGAGAGTCTACAGCTCTCCATAGTCAAAGCATCAAGAATCCCCTTAAAATTGGAGAAATGGTAAGTGAAGTTCTCTCAGGCCATCCCAGTGCTGCTATACTTGGAGGCAGTGCAGAATGACTCCTTGTATTATATATACCAGCACTTTGAAGAACTCAGTTTCAAATGTCTCAAACAATGGGGGTTTCACCGCTTCCTGTGGGAGCCTGCTCTGCAGCCTAACTCATTTTACCATCTGGAGCATTTTCCTGAGTGTCTGCACACTTAAAACTTTCTTTTAATTGTATACCCACTATTTCTTCTTAAAGGTGACTTATCAAAAGTTTCTGTTGTATGCAATTTGCGTAATGTCATGCTTTTTTTATTTTTTTATGAGGATCAAGAAAACCCTGAAAGATTGATGGCTTCTTCTCTTTGCTTTTTCTTCCTCAGAAATAATAATAAGTAATTAATAATGTATTACTGCTTTTCTAACTATTCATCTCAACGATTTACAAGGAAGGTCAGCATTGTTGTACTCTTTTTACAGATGGGAAAAATTGAAGCACAGGGCAGGAAACAACTTGCCCAAGATCATTCAATGAGTCTATGGCAAGAGTTGGATTTTTAAGCAGGTCTCCACAGTACTGCCCTACTTTTTTCCTACTATTTTTTTTTTTGGCCCAGTCTCATTCCCTTTGGCTTCGTAAGAGTACCTAGGAAGGACAAACTTTCCATGAACTTTATTCAGAATTGTAATATTGTAACTGAAAGGTCAGCTTGTTGAATATTTAACAGTTGCTATCTTTCCAGTGTGTTGGTCAAGCATCCTAATTAAGTAGTGATAAATAAAACCAACAAAGCATTTTAACAGACTTATTCAGTCCCTAGGGCCTCCAGGCTGAATTTCCTTCTGCTAGCCTGTGTTTTCCAAGTTGCAGATTATCCAGCTTGAACACAATATATATCAAGCACACTTTTATCAGTGCACTGCAGGGAGATTTCCTTCCTTCTCAGTGCCACCATGCTTACTTCACATGTTGTATTTCCCTTAGCTGTGGGTTTTGGTAAGTGCATTTCTCAGAATCTGGGTAGTTGCTGAATTATAAATCTTCCAATTTGGAAATAATAACACCACAATGTGTACAGCATGATATACTAGGTAGGGAGCCGAGCCCTGAGCAGGCTTACCTGGATATCAGAAGCAGTCTGGCCTTAGCAGCACAGAGCTGTCCTTGAGTTTCTAGC